TTCCATAACTTCCACTGCCAGGGCTCCAGACTGAAGCTGCCTACCCACTGTGTAACAGAGCCTGGTGCTAGAAAGATTGCCTGCCTTGCTCCAGAGCTGGATTCTCTAGTGCAACAGGCTTTGGTGGCACAGGAAGTGGTGATTTCTGATTCTCTGCGCTGAATCTAACCCAGAACATTAATTGTGCAATAAAAGCTCTGCAACTAGACAAAGGAAAATAAACATAACAACATACGAATGTGACGACCACCATCTTGGCTGACACAGTGGGGACCTCCAGAGTTAAAAGCCTGAGTTGCTACACCTTGAGCTAAAGCTGGGCTTTAATAGTCAGGTGGTCTGCAAGTCAGGTGGGGGGGGGGGGAACGGCCGCAACATACACTCACCAGAAGGTTACACAATATTGCCAGCTCCAAAAGTTCAAAAATCATGAGTCAGACTCCAAAAAATCATGAGCGTTTTGTTTGTTTTTTAAAAAAGATCATCTCGTGTTTTTGGTTTCTCTTTTGATTTGTGAACTCCCTCCTGCCCAATCTCTGTGTGTCTTCGAGAGAGACAATTAGTGTTGCTAATTCCCTCTGATTTACTGAGTAAGGTGATTTTGGCCCCTGCCGCAGGAGCTCTCTGGCTGCCTGATGGTATGGAGCTTCTGGCTTCTCCTCAAAATTCAACACTTTAATTCATTTAACCTGTGCCCTCCCTAGCCACACATCTGCCTGTCCCTGAGCCCCGCAATTCATTATGCACCCCCTGCAGACTGCACAGCCATTCCTCCCCCACAATCCCCACATCTGTCTTTTCCACAACCCAACTCTCCTCCTCCAGCAGTTATTGGGGTTTGTCACCCTCCTCTCCCAGACCTGCACACAGGGAGCTACTGTGGGGTTCAGTTCTCTCTTTTCCCAGGCCTAAGGGGGAGGCAGAGTAGCTCCAGAGATTCTCCACTGGCCTGCTGCTTTTTCTCTTGCCAGGACTGGTGTTGCCAAGATGGACACAGGAGCGGAGGAAAGAGCAGCCCACAAACATTTTTCACAGGAGAGTAGGGGGAGGAGTTAGCAGAACCACCTGAGCTCATGGACTTTTTCTGCTCCTTCCTCACCTCCTGTGAGAATGGTGTCATCTGCTCTCTCTCCCCATCCTTTATCCAAAAACTTCTCTATCCTGAGAGGAGGTGGAAAGAATTCTGCCTGCCTCCTGCAGCAGCCCTGATTGGTGGCTCTTCCTCAGGAGGTGGGGGAGTGGGGAAGACCAGCAAATCAGAAGGGGGGTTCCCCCAGGTAGAATAAGAGGAATGGAACATCTCTCATTATAATGAGACTGGTTACAACTCAGCTAAACTCATGATAGTCAGGAGGAAATTGAAATAGCTGCCAACACTGGTTACATAGGCATTCTGCACATATAATAGTATTTTTTTTGGGGGGGGGGGGAAGGACGGGACACATTCCCTTCTGACTAAAAACTAAAGTATTTGGGATGGCATATATCTTACTCTTAAATCGTCTCTAGTAAGTTGCTGTATGAGTTTGTCTCTGTGATTACACCTTCTGAATGTGAATAGATATGCAAGTGATGTTACAATAAAAGGCAGCATTTCCTGATGTGTTTAAATGTCTTTTGCTAAGTTTCATGTACCCAACATGCAGTACATATGGGAGTCAAATGTATGCTGCCCATTATTGGGGAATGAATGTATCATTTACCCAACAGATTTTTTTTCAAACAATCAAAAGCCTAGAGATGCGTCCAAAAATATTGACATTATTGTGTGGCTCCTGCAGTCACTGCAATGGCAGGCACAAATTGAGTGCTTGCACTGCACAATTTGACAACTGGATGGGTGAGGTGCGGACCACAGTATGTTTGTCATTCAGAACTTATCTCTTCTGATCCATTTTTTACCCACTCACTCTAGGGCAGGGGTAGTCAATAGACAGACTATGGGCCGAATCCAGACCACCAGATGATTTTGAACGTACCCCAAAATCTTTTTATTTACATGTTGTTATTATTTATTTATCATTATTTTATTATTTTCTTTGGAGTCTTGACTATATCACGACTAAGAAATTTTGACTTTGACAAAAAATAATTGTCTACCCCTACTCTAGGCTATCCACCTTTACCCAGTTCCCAGGGCGCAAGGCATAACCCTCTTCATTTAGGCACCCACCCTTACCCAATTCCTAGGGCTCAGGGCATAACCTGCTATGAGTTTGCGGGGTCTTTTATCAGTGAAAGAGCCTTACACCTCTATTTATTAACAATCACCAAAACAGAATGCATACATTAAGCATACAATGCTCACCACTTCCAATAGGGCAGATGAACTTTTCCTGGTGGCCAGTCAGGTTCAAGTCATCTGGGACACCAGCTTTTGCATGATATGGTTGGCAGAGTGTTGAAGTCTGGCAGCTCTGATCTTGGGTTGTGTCCTGGAGTTCGTTCTAAAGAACTTCCTTTTGGAGCCCAGTTTATAAAGTGAAACTTAAGTCCTGCTTAGCTATACCTTAACCCATCATTTTACTGAAGTATTACAAAATAATTCTTTGGCCAATTCTAACATATTGCAAAACAATTATTTAACCAAGCATACCCCACCATCTTAGTTGATTTAAATCTTGCAAAATTAGTTATGCAACAGACAGAAACAATCAAAGAACCAGGCAGAAACCATACAGATAAACCATAGAGAAGTAGGGACCATAAAGGCAAAACAATAAAGTAGCGATTTCACAAACACAACTGTTGATAAGTGATTCCTTGCCAGACAGAATACTATCAAACTAAGTTTTTTTTAAAAAACATCCTAAGGTCTGTTTTCTTATCTAGTGGTGGTGGGTACTATTAGCACAGAAGCACCTTCTTAACAGTCTCATATTTCATTGTTCTAATGCACTTTAGATGGAATGTGAGGATGTGACTTTCTGCTTCTTGGCTCATGGCTGCTGCTGTCCTACTATGGCTGCAGAAAAAGGCCTCAGACTTACACTTTCAAAGACTTTTCTCCTGCTTCTCAAAGTCCCATCTTACTCCTTTCTTCCTTCAGGGCTTCTTTGCCTACCTGGACTGCATGACTATTCCCTTTTGTACATCCAGTCATAATAATTGTGTTTACACTTTTGCATGTGTCTCTAGGCTTTTGGTCCTAAGGGCTTGCTTGATCCAAAGCCCACTGAAGTGAATAGAAAACTACCATTGACTTCAATGGGCTTTGGAACTATGCAATTAACATAGGCACTGTGTGAACCACCCGTTGGGGATGGCTAGCCCCCAGCCCCGCCCCTTCTGCCCAAGGTCACTCCCCTCCCCCACCAGAGCCCCAAGCTCCCCACCGCAGCCTCAAGTGCCCCCAGCCCCGGAGCACCAGGCAGCTGGCGCGGTCCCCAGCACCTGCAGCCACAGATCGCTGGGCCACGCAAACACCAGCCTCAGCTGCTCTGAGTCCCAGGCCACAGGCCAGCCTGTCCTAGCCCCAACTGCAGCTTGGACCCGGGGGAAGAGCATGCAAGATTTGAAGAGAACAGATGATTCAGATGACTATGCCAAACATGATGATCTGTCAGAGTACCAGCAATTGTGGCCTGCTGAAGGCAAAATGGAGCTTGGAGCAGGGAATCTGGGGTAGAGGGAAAAAGGAGGAGTTGATGACGTATGCATGCATGCATGAAGAGAGGGGGAGGAGGAATTTCATTGGCTTGAAAGAAGGCAGGTGATAGCATAAAGAAAGGCATTTGAAGAGAAGTTGACAAAAGTTTCAAATAAATTTGGATAAGCTTCCAAACTCTGGGGGACCTCAGTCAACTGAATTTAACCCTAACTCCAGGGCTAAAATAAAATATGAGGAGAAAATTGGACATCCTTTCATGTACTGGTGCCTGCTGTATTATTATTTTTAAAAATGCTCATCCGTAGTACAGTTTGGGCCAAAACAATCCTCAAATGAATAATCTTATTCTACCCTGTCAAAAATCTTCACTGACTGCAAGATCATGGTGACATCAAAGTAGTATGCAAATCAAGGGTCATATTGTAGAGTTCTTCCTCACACTAGTTGAGCGCTCTTACCCATATGTAGTCCCCATTATTTTTAGTGGGACTATTCACATGAGTAAGTGCTCACCAGTATGAATAAGGGTTCCATAATCTGGCCCCCAAAGGATCACACGTTTTAAGAGAATGATCCATTGTGAGTGACCACACTTGTACATGATGGATTATTGATGGATGGGCATTGAGTGTTCTGGAAAAACATTGTTGTGTCCAGGGTTACATTGAGCAAAGACATAAGGTTGTGATTTGTACAGCATAAAGAATCTCTGACTCTTTGGAGTCATGGGAGATTAACTCTGTGCTGACCACTGATGACAAGTCTTTTGTTCTTTGCCTCCCTGAGCACACATGCTGGTTCCTTTCTTTATTCAAGGGAAAGTAATCTGCCCCACTCCTATACTTGGCATTAGTTACTTCCTGCAGGATGCCAGCTCAGCTGTGCTGATTGTCTCCTTAATCCTCCCTCCTGCCTGCCCACTCCCTGACCACCAGTGTTGGAAGGAAAGTAGTGAGCCCACAAACTGCTCTACCTTTTGAATTGTTACCTGCTAAAATGTAGCCTCACACTCCATCCTTCATACATTAGCTGGGTCACAGTCTGGCTCTTTGTAAGTATGAAATCAATAACTTACTAATGTTAATTTATCGATTATGTATTAGTAGCCTGTTCATCAATGAAGCAAGGACTACATTAGAGGTACCTTCTCATTTCAAATTGCAGAGATTTATTATCAAGGATAAAACTAGTATAGTAAGCCTGGTACTAAATACCTGCAGTATAGTGCAACACAGCTGTAGGAGAGTGATCATGCAGAACTAATTGTATCAAATAGCTAATGTTTACTACTGCATATATCATGTATTCCATTTTGTAAAAGCTAGAATGCAGAGTAATGGTTCTTTTTATTTATTAATTTGTTTTGTTTGTTTTGTTCAAATTCTATCAGAAAATGGACCCCGTCTACTTGTGGAAGCAGAACAAACTAAAGTCTTCTCACACAGAGGTGGCAATATCACACTACCGTGTAAATTTTACCGTGACCATACATCGGCTGGCTCAGGAACCCACAAAATTCGTGTCAAGTGGACCAAACTCACCTCAGATTACCTCAAGGAAGTGGACGTCTTTGTCGCAATGGGACTCCACCAGAAGAGTTATGGAAACTACCAGGGCAGGGTGTTTCTGAAAAAAGGCAGTGAAAATGATGCTTCTCTTGTAATCACAGATATAACACTGGAGGATTATGGGAGATATAAATGTGAGGTGATTGAAGGATTAGAGGATGACATAGCAGTGGTATCTCTGGATTTACAAGGTAGGTGGCATTTGCATTACAGATTTGTGCAGCATTAACAAGCACATCCTTTTCCAAGTGAATATGGAGGAACATAATGGTAACTGCAATGGCAATATGGAAAAGAGATTTTATACTTATTCAATTTAGAAGTTACATTTATTATTTTAATATATAATGTAATCAGTTTTTCAATATGAACTGCTGTATACCCTAACGATATGTCTATGATCATTAGAAATCTACTCAGGAAGTGATGGTTATGGTTATTATAAAATTTCAGTACGGATATTCAGATTGAATAATAGTCAATCAAAAAAGTGGATTGATCATATAGGGTCATATTCTGCCACCCATACTCACATTGCTTAGTACCATTAAACACTGATTTCTCTGGGACTATTGAGGAGTAAGGTATTACACATGAATGGGGGTGGCAGAATTGGTTTGCTAGCTATTACTGTCTTCTTTTGCCTATAGGCTGGTCTAATAGCTAATGTACAGTGTATTCTGAAGTAGATTTTTCTCTTAAATAATTTATTAAGAAAAAAAAGAGATTGTTTGTTCCTAGTCTGCAGAGTATCAAGCCGTGACTGTTTTAAGATCTAAACATATGAACTCCACCCGCCCCTATCCACTTACCCACCACTACTACATTTAAAGCTGTGTTCCTGTGTCAGTAAAAGCAAGGACTTTATTTACTTATTGAACTGCTCTATGCTTTCGTAGGGCACCCTCTTTAGGAAAAAGCACTGGTCATACTGTATTTTTTGTAGTTCAATTCATTTTAACCCTCTTCCTTTGCATAGGCCCTTATGTCTTCTTTAATGTATGATTTCTGGCCACATATATATTCATGCTAACATGAAATATAGAATTAATTCCAGAATTCCAAAACTTCAAACACTCAGGAGCTTTCAATGAATGAAATTTGAATGGATCTTGCACAGAATTCTGTAAATTGTGCTTATCTTCAGCTGGTAATTTTGCTGGAACAACACTACACGGTATGTCAGCTACAACCATTTGGTTTCATACTTATTTTATTAAGTTCTTCTGAGTTACTGAGCCATGCCTGCAATGTGGGATGGGCAGAGTACTTTTGGGACAGAAAAAACAGCTGCCAGATTGCTAACACCACCATTTCAAACCAAATCATAGCATGAGTGATAGAAGCATTATGGGGCGTGTCTGGAGTGCATTGTATTCTGGGAATCTTGGGCTACTAGACTGTGATAGCCATTAAAATTAGACCAGCCTTGTTTATGTGAGGATGGAGCCAGTTTAGCCCCCAGCCCATCCCTGTATCAGAGGAAGCAGAAGTTGACTAAGATCTGTGCTTGAAACTCCTTAAATTTGGCCCTATGACTTTACAGACAGCATTATGAATTACTACCATAGACAGAGTAAAGTCATACTTTATAAAGCTTTCTGCCATTCACTTAACCAAAAGGACGTGAAGAGGGAATATGTTTCAGTAGTTTCCTAAGGGTAGGTCTATACTTACCTCCGGGTCCGGCGGTAAGCAATCGATCTTCTGGGATCGATTTATCGCGTCGGAAGTGCTCGCCGTTGATGCCGGTACTCCTGCTCCGCGAGAGGAGTACGCGGAGTCGACGGGGGAGCCTGCCTGCCACATGTGGACCCGCGGTAAGTTCGAACTAAGGTACTTTGACTTCAGCTACGTTATTCATGTAGCTGAAGTTGCGTATCTTAGTTCGAAGTGGGAGGTTAGTGTGGACCAGGCCTAAGAAATGCCAAAATTGTCATTAAATATTGGTAAAGTTGAATATTTTTTCCCAGCTCTAGAATTAAATACTGCTATAAAATACATTTGCAAGTGATCTGCAAAAGCATCTGCTACATGTAGTCAGTAGTTATTTCCCTCAATGGGGCTGTTGCAAACAGTGAGTTTAACATACCAATAAAATAGAAAGATCTGTGAAATGGGCCTTAAGGTTTTTTGTGCTATAAATAAAGGACAGCAAATTCTGATCTCATATATTTGGGTAAATCAATGGAATTGCATCAGATTTTTCACTGGTGTAAATGAGATCAGATTTGACCCTGTTTTTTCCAAGGTATTCAATACTGATTTGCGTAGTGAATTGAAAAATTACATTCAAGAGCGCTGTGTCTGTTTTTGTGGATGCCTCCCTGCTGTCCATACATGCCACCAGGTGTGTGTCTGAGAGAAGACCCTTACAGATGCCAAGTTATCTCCTGACACTGTTTAGAAAAATATCTGACTTGTGCACCTGCAAATCAATGAAGGATGTGAATCCTTGACCTTCACAATGGTCTATTGTATGCTTTGGTATTTATTTTATTTGCTAGTAAGACTATCTCTCTGTTGAAGCCAGATATGTTAAATGGCCTTGCCTTAGTTCTCCATGTTCATTTGTCAACTCCTAGTGCATTCCATTTGTCAATACAGAGAAACCCACATAGCTTCCATGCCATTGTGAAAGGCAAAAGTATTCAACTTACATTTTTTCACCCCATCATTATTATTAGTCTCTATCTCTTCAATTTCACAGAAGAATGTAACTCTTTGTTAGAGAAAATTAAACTTGTATACAGGTTAAGTCAACTAAAACTCATTTTTGAGTGGAGAGAAAAAATGAGTAGGAGGCAAAAGGCATTTGGCTTTATATTATCCTTTTGCCAGTGGCATCCATATACTCAGTCACATCTTTGTACAAGTAAATATTGTATTAGCTGCTCAGTGCAGCTGTTCTGATTATGACATGAATCACTGAAGTGATATATCAGGTTCAGTTTATATGCACTATTGGTCAAAGAAAGTCAAATCCTTTCTGACTGATACCTAGGGTGAGATTCTGTGATGAGCCTCTGAGAGGCTCACAGCCCATGGGGAAGAGGGGTTATGGTAGTTTCAAAAGATAGTTGTGCTCTCCCCTTCCTGTACACAACCATGAGGGCCCTTCCTGGGCTGCTGTATAGGCCATAGTACTGCTAGGGTGACCATACTGCCCTTATTTTAAGATGTATTGAGAGGTATTAAAACTGATACTAAGTACCATGTTGACGCTTATGATAATTGCATTGTATACTTGAGGGCAGTAGAAATGTACACTTGAGAGAAAAATATATGATATGCTATGGGAAATGGTGTTTCCCTAAAACGTCCCTTTAAAATAAAGAATTATCCCTTATTTTCACTTGGTTTTCCCTTATTTCCATCCAACAAAGGTGGTTACTCTAAATGCTGCCCAGAATCATTGCCTGCTGAGGTTTGACCCCCCAACATGCCCCAATCACCCTCCACCTCATATTTAGGGTGACCAGACATCCCGATATTATCAGAACTGTCCTGATATTGGGGGCTTTGTCTTATATACGCAACTATTCCCCCCCAAAAAAAAGTTTCTTGATTTTTCACACTTGTTATCTGGTCATCCTGCCCGTATCAAGTGTGTCCCTTGGCTAGCATGGCTAGCAAAAGAACCTCGAAGCACAGCTTTACAGCTGTCTTTTGCAGTGCCATCACTGGGGAGAATTCATTCTTAGATGGATATGGAGTTTTTAGGACCTCTTTACACCACTCCAGACCTTTTACTGAATGTAAAGGGGCCAGAGTGGGGGTAAGATTTCACCCCTAATTATCTGTCCTTAAAAAGTATTCTTCATCATCGTACAAATTTGAAATCAGCTGGTGCAAATCAGTGTAGCTCCTTCGAATTGAAAGTTGACTAGTTCCCTGTTATTTAAACTGAAAAGGGTTCCAGCTCACTAACAACCACTGTAAGAGGCGTGCATGAAGTCGTCACTTAGATAAATGAATGGGAGTTCTTGTGTGAGTCAGGATTCTACAATCATACCTGTACATAAAAACGCTTGTACATGCACACAGAGCTGTGGACTTTCTGAATTAACTAGATCAATATTTGGAAGTTTTCAATATGTAAAAAAAAAATAGTTATTGATCTACCAAACATAGCTGCTTAATAACCAAGATGTACTTTCCGTTTGTTATGAAAATGACAATAGTTTCTCCTAACCAGATTAAGTTTGATTAAACACACTTACTTTTCAAGTGAGCATATATTTAATGTGTTGTAATCCTCATACTGTCCCTTTGCATTCCTCCATACTCGTTTCTCAGCTCATCTGCATTTTTCACAGTGCAGGCTCTGATTGCAGTTGTATGTACGTGTACAATGCAAAAGAGATCTCTTCACAGCAAATCAGTTTCTTGGGGGGAAATAAAAGGGTATCAGCCCATCCTTTGCTACCCTAACATTCAACAGCTGCTACAAATAGTAAGGTCAATCATAGGGCTGGTCTACACTGGGGAGGGGTGGGGGGATCAATCTAAGATACACAACTTCAGCTATGCTATTCGCGTAGCTGAAGTCGAAGTATCTTAGTTCGACTTACCTGGCCATCCTCACGGCAGTAAGTCGACCGCCGCGGCTCCCTCGTCGACTCCGCTTACTCCTCCTGCCGAGGTGGAGTACGGGCGTCTATTCGGGGATCGATTTATCGCATCTCAATCCCCGATAGATCGATTACTACCTGCCGATCTGGTGGGTAGTGTAGACATAGCCTCAAAGTCGGAAGGCTCCACATCAGTAGTGCAGTGTCCTTCAATGCTAGCCCAAGGATGCTAATTGGCAGAGAGACAAAACATTTATTTCCAGGAATGCCCCTGGCAGTACAAAAACGCTGATCACTTCACTGTTAGTTCACTGTACAAAATACTAAAGCTTTGGCTAGGTGAAGGTGTATTTATCATGTCAGCGACCTTGTCCTCTACTTCAGTTCAGATTAGTGTTTTTGTTCCTGTAGACATATTGGACTCCTGGAAACATAATTAAATAAACTATCCATAGTAATTGAACAATATTTCAATCCTAGTTTTCAAATAGCAATGTAAATAAATTCTTTTAATAATTGATATACATTTTTAAACAGCTTGCTGTACTATATATCATTCTATTTCATTTTAACAGGACAAAACTGAATACACCCAAGAATGGATGGATAGCATTTCA